TGATAATTATCAAATTATTTTGAGTGTCTCTAATTCCCAAAAGATATTAAAAAGACAACAGTCAAATTTTGTGTTTGTTCTTATATTTCAGGATTGACAAGAGAAATTTACGAAAAATAGAAAAAATATTTATTCGTTTGTTTTTATTTCATTTCATTTAAATTAAATTTTATTTTAGTTAAATTAAAGGATACATAAACATGAAAATCATACATATTAATAAGATATCATCTGATGTTTTGGTACATGTACACGTGTAATGCTAATATCAGATTAAACATATCTTTCTCTGCAGTTCTTCTTAATGAGGCATTCAAAATTCTTCCTGGTAGCTTTCTGAGATATACAGTACATTATCATTACCTACAGTGGCCTGATTGTGCAGTAGCACACTGGAACTTCTTGTTTCTATCTGGGTGTTACTTAGTAATACTGAGGAGCCTTGTACAGCCCTCCTTCCATCCACTTCTCCCCAGCCTCTGATAACCACTATTCCACACTCCTCTTCTATGCGTCCTGCTTTTCAGATTCCACATATGATTGAAAAAAGAAAAATGTACTTGTCTCTTGAGATCACACAGTATCTGTCTTTCTGTGCTTGGTATATTTCACTTAACATAATGACCTCCAGGTCCATAACTCGGAGAAGCCTTTGGGAGACTGCTGTGGAGTTCACAGTAGTAAATCCCAGGATCAAAGAAGTAATTTGTGACACAGTAACTCAGTTGGAAAGAGTCATCATCAATACGATTTTCTGAAGCTCTTTGAACATCGTCCTGCTCCTCCTTAGTACTGCAGTAAACACCATACGGAACCAGATAGTTAGACCAAGTCCAGGACGACACCAAATCGAGCACTGTTCAGTCTAAGTAGTCCTTTGGACTCCTAGATTTTGCTGTTTTAGTTAAACACCTATATGTAGCAACAACTGTGCATACAGCGTATTAGTAACCATTATCAGGAATCATGTTCTACTCTAAAACACAAATGACATATAGCGTGCATAGTTGTGAATTGTAAAAAAAAAAAACTTCACCTATTATATATCAAGAAGTAGAAAGTAGAGGATTTTTGAAGCAAGGTGCCGAGTCTGTCTTACTTCACAGCATTTAGTTGGCATGTTCATTAGTACGTGTAAAGCATTCAACTAATATAGCTCTCAGTATGGCAGACAGAAGCATTAAATGCACTCCAATAATGCAAGGATTATTCTAAAACTGTAGACAAATTATTATGGGATCTCAGGGTAGGAAATGATTAATTCCTGATAGAACAGGAAACCTCATAGAAGAAGGAATATCTTTGAAATGGGATCTGAATTGTAGGTAGAAGTTTGACATGCTGATTTATAGTTATTAGTATATACCAGGAGGGGAAATTGCAAAAGTCCTGAGGGATCCAGTAGCTGACATTCAGGAGCAAAGCAGACGTCGCAGAAACTGTCAGGAGCCCCGAGCACAAGCCTCACCCAAACAGGTGCAGCCAACAAGAGGCCACAAATCTGGAATGTCCTGTAAAACTTTTCATTTCACCTATTAGCAAGCAATTAGGAGGTCTGCGTTAGCTTCATTTATTTTCAAACTTTGTATGAATTGACTTCTCACTTAAGAGATAATCCAGTTCTCACTTTCCAGATCAATAAATACTTATTAAAATAGTATATAAATTTCTTTTAGCATTATTTTGTTATCTATAAAACACAGAAACGAACATTGAAAAGAAGCTCAAGTTTTGAATCTTCTGTTTCAGATGAGCCTATGAGATAGAAGTTATTCATTAACTTTGTGCATTTTTTTACCCTTTCAGAAAGGTTAGCCGTAATATTTTAAATTTCAGTCTCCTTTTTAAGAACTTTGTTCAAAACCTGAAGAACCTACCTTTGTTTGCCTTTTAGAGAATTTCTAATAAGCCATTTTATAAAAAGAGGATTAGGTTACCTGGAGACTGCATATTATAGCAAGGAGAGCTTTCCTAAATATGATAACATAAAATCTTTCAACCTTGCATTTTGTGCACAAAGGCACCTTTAAGGGTGTCTCCGGCAAGTGCTCTATTAACGCAGAATTTTAGTTAATTGCAGACACTATTCTCACGAACCTTAACTGAGGGTGAATACCAAACAGTGTAACAGTGTGCCCCAGGCTTTAATAGCTAATGAAATTGGATTCCTTATTTTCTCTAATGAGCTCATTGCTTTTCTAAATACGGTCATTGCGGGTAAATGATCAATAGCCTTAGAATCGACAACACTGCCGGATTATTTTGGCAAGGCAGAAACACTCATCAGTGTAGAGTAAGATTTTTTGCATATAATGTCAGACCACTTTCTATGTAATGTAAAAAATGACAATATATAGCAAAAATGTTTCAGTGATTGACTTAGACATAGGAAATTGTAGAGAATGGTCTGATTATAGGGTAATGATTCCCTATCCACAGCACGGAGCTCCAGAGAAGATTAACTGAATCCAGTGTGTTTGTTGATTGAGAGATGCAACAGAAACAGGCTTTAAAGAAAAAGCTTGCATGACAGCCCTGTGCCGAGTGTCTAGATTGGTTTCCTGTAACAAGTGACCATAAACTGGGTGAAGTAATACAAGAGAAAGGTGTTCTCTCATAGTTCTGGAGGCCAGAAGTTTGAAATCAAGGTCTTGGCAAAGCTGCAGTGCTTCTGAAGGTTCTGGGGGGAGAATTTACTTCTCCTTTCTTTCACCTTGCGATGGCTGTAGGTGTTTCTTCTGGCTGCACCACTCCAATCTCTGTCTCTGTATTCACCTTGCATCCTTCACGGCCGTCGCTCCTCTGTGTGGATCTTATGAGGATACTTGTCATTGGTTTAGAGTACACTAGGGTAATCTGAGATGGTCTCCTCATGCCAAAATCCTTAATTTAGTTACATCCACAAAAACTTTTGCTTAATAGTCATTTTCATGGGTTCTAAAATTATGATTTGGACATAACTTGTTAGGGCCTTCACTCATCCTATTACGACTAACTTTTTCCACTTTTTTTGTTGTTAGTAAAGTTGGACATAACCACCTTTTAAGTCATTATGATGTTTCAGTACTTTACTACTATTTTCATTTATGCAGCAAATAATTTTTATCACTGTATTTGCAAGTTCTCAATACTTAAAATAACCCTATTACTATATCCTTTATACAGATAAAGTGACTGAAACCCTAAAGTGGGTAAAATCTTGACTAAAATTACAACACAAATATTCAGAGTGTCAATTTATAAAGTTTTTTGCATATTTAAATTTAATTTCAATCAATTATTAGAAATCAATGTAAAATTTCACAAAATATATTTTTCTCTTAAATTTTTAAACTCCGTGTTTCTGCCAATAGATAGCCTTCCACAAAATCCAGCATCCTGCTGCAAGATTTAACCTTAGGCAGAGCAAGCCAAAGTGAGGTTTTGACGAATAACAGCTTTGGGATGAAATTCAAGTTAGGGCTAACTTTGCCCAAAGCAATCTTCCAATATTGAGTTCTAGAATACTTTAGATGGATTTTTTAAAATTTGAGAATACTCAAATGGATTTTTTTTAAATGAGTTTTAAATACACTCCGCTGCCAAAGACACACACATAATCTACTGTTTTCTAGCATTCTCTTCTCCATTTATCCACTGAACTATTTCAGAGTTGTCAGGGTCTTCTACCTCCAGTTGCTTATTTGCAAAATAGATTGCCATAATAAATCTCATGCAATACTTGAAATAATTAATGAATTAATTCTATGTCTAAGTAGTAACTGTTTCAAAATATAGACTCAATGCAGTCACTGATGATTACCAGTTATAAGTATTTTATACATGCAGGTACCACATTCAAAAATGGTAATGGAACTGCTGCCAGTAGAATTTTATTTGATCCACAATGAGGTTTCAATGCAGAATATGAGGCTGAGCATTTCATAGTGCGTGTATTCATTAGTATGTGTGTGTGTGTGTGTGTGTGTAAAGCAAAGTATCCCTATGTTTCTTCCTTTCCTGTGAGCAGCAATTTAGCATTCTTTCCTCTGCATTCTTCTGCCCATCCTTCTCTTTTTTTTATTTTTCCTTGGGGGGGGGCGATTTATGTTTTAATTTTCCAAGATAATTCTTGAACCTTATCAAACTATTGCCAAGTTGCCAATGTGATGTGGCTCCATCATGGAATCTAAAGAAAGATTCACACTCTGTTCCATGTGCATCAGCTCTGTCAAGAGCCCGTGAAACTATTTTGTGTGGACATTTTTGCAGTTGTAAAAACATCTATTACATACAATTGATGCATAAAGAATAAGGAAGTTTGATGCACTGATACTTTTAGCTCTAAGTGGACACTTGGTTTTTGGGTATTGTCTCCAAGTAAACATGTGACATGTGATATTAATTTTTTGCATGAAATTAATATCACATATCACAGCTTAAGCATTTGCTGTACATCAGCGGAGAAGGGAGGAAGAAGACTTGGTGATTTTAGTTATTTATTGATCTTTTCTTTTATTGACTTTGCTAACTTTCAATTAATGAATCTTATATAAAATAACATGAAACTCAGTGTTATAATAAAGGAAAATTAATGTATGTTCTTCATTGACTCAAGACAACAGTTATTGTCTATGGCTATATATGTTTTTCTGAGTAAGAGGGAAGCGAAACGAATTACCTCCACGTTAAACCATGAGTAGCCCCAGATATTTAAATATGTTTAGTTCTGATTTTTATCCCTTTTAGCCATGACATTTCTTCATATGCACACACACACACACACACACACACACACACACACATCAGGAAATTCATTTATTTCCCTCTCATCTGGACAGCCTTTATTTGTCAATGCTTAAGAGGAAAATCTTCTAAAATGCTTTTAAATCAAATCCTGAGCATGCTTGTGACCACGGTACTCTGCTATCAAACGAGAAAGCTGAGTCATCCCTTTGATCGAGGGGAACTGAAGTGTGTCTGTTTGCTTTGCTTCACATGGTCTGTTTTGCGACCCACAGGTGAGCACAAAATGCCGAGGCCTCTGGTGGGAGTGTGTCACCAATGCTTTTGACGGCATTCGTACCTGTGAAGACTACGACTCTATATATGCGGAACACTCCTGTATGTATCCCTCCGCCGTCTTATGATACACAAATTGAGACATATCTTTACCGTATTTTATCTTTTTCCAAGTATTTGTAAGTTCCTTGAGGATAAAAATATCTTTTCTTTGCTGTTTGCCAAAAGACCTGACGTAGCATCTTGCGCATATGAGGCTTATAGTAAGTGCTTTCTTAAATTGAAATGTATTCACTGTATGTCATGGCTTTGTGATTAGAACTGACATGTGAGGTGAGTAGCATTTCAGAAATGTCTCTCAGCAATGGCTTGGCTCACATGGAAAGTTTGCAGTTATTTCAGTTAAAGATTTACTAGGAAAAAGAGAGGTAAAGGGGCAGAGACAGAGAGATAGCAAAACACCCCTACCCAGAGTATGGAGATTGGTGGGTGGAAAGTGTGCCACATAGTTAGAAGTAATATTAAAGCTAGCTCTGCCTTACTTGTAGCTTTAAATCTCAGTTGCACATTTGCAAGGTCCCTGCTTCTCTGAATAAAGGCATCCTTTAAAATCTTCTTTGATTCTCTCAGTCCTTCTCTGTAGCATGCCTCTAATTGTTTGTTCATTTATTTATTCATTTATTTATTTATTATTTATTTATTTATGACATTCAACTCTGCCACAAGGTAACAATAGTCCTGTTACTATAGCAAAGTCATTTTAGTCTTTTTCAGAGGAAAAGATGGATCACAGCACCACATGGAAAAATTTTTTCTCAAGAAGTATGAGAAGGCCGGGCGTGGTGGCACACGCCTGTAATCCCAGCACTTGGGAGGCTGAGGCAGGAGGATCTTTGGGAATTTGAGGCCAGCTTGAGCTACAAAGTGAGCTCAAGGCCAGCCTGAACTGTGTAGCGAGACTCTGTCTCAAAAAGACAAAAAAAAAAAAAAAAGAAGTGTGAGAAGTAATTTCAGCGTGGCCTTCTCCCTAGAGAGCTGTTTCAGTCTAGGGAAAATCATTAAAACAAAAATGCTCTAAAATATTTTCACCTACTATTTAAAAGTGAGGTGTCTGAGATGGTTCAGCACAATTCATAAAGCATTTTGTTAACTTTTCATTTGCGCTAGATTATGTTGCTTCTTTTCCCCTTCCTTCTTTTATACTATAGCAGTTCTTCTCACAAAGAAGCATGATTTAGTGAAGAGGAATAGAGATTCTTATGGGAACTCTGCCTATTTCAAAGATTCAAGGCATGGCCAGAGCCAAGGAAAAAGAAAAAACAGTACATTCATTTTTTAAAACCTTTAAATGCTACTATGTACGTTTATGCAAGAAGAAAATAAATTACCTTGTGTAGACCCAACCACTGTTTATATTTTAATATGTTCCCTTTTATTCTGTCTACAGTATCTTTTTCTTTTGTTGTCATTCATGACATTTAAATAATATATAAAATCCATTACTTTTTTAAAAAGTATATCACATGTTTAAAGACAACTCGAATTAAAAATGTATTGTAGGGAAATCACATCTCTACATTCTCTAGGTTATGATGTTGCCTAGGAAGAGCTAGAAACTTATTTTTGGGATTTGCTATTTTTAAACAAATACACTTGGATAACATTTTCTATTGCCCTGCAGACAGACTGTGTGGCCCCTGATGAATTTATTTTGCAGGTTCCTACTGATAAAGGTAATTTGAGTATCCCCAGATCAGCCTAATACCTACATTCTGGTGGCCAAATCTCACATGATCTTGAAGATACAATCCTCTGTTAGGGCTACGCTCCAAGAACTAGGTCTCTGAACAACCCGTAGGCATGAATCCTGGAAGGGAGAGTTTCAACACAAAGGAGAAATGGGGCCCATGAAAATCTGGATGAGTTCAGACCACCCTGTCCTAATAGTACTCTTGGTCCTGGTAGTCCCAGAATCCAAAAGGGCAACGAGGAAATTCCAAAGGAGGTCCTTACTGCCCTGGAACACTGAAAGGAAGGCTCACTTCGGAATATCATTTGGCTGTCCAGAGGGTGTGTTGAAATAGAGAAAACTATTATTGCTTAATAAGTTTTATATTTGTCTCTTTCCTCAATTTCCAGAAAAAAAAGGAATTTTATATTTGGAATATCGAACTTTTCTGGAAACAATACCAACTTTTAAATATTAAAAATTCAATTTTAAGAGCAGATAGGTATTTACATATGTATATAAATGAGAATATATATATATATTATATTCACAAGGTAGAAGAATTTTGTACACTGATTTGTTCTCTCAAATGTTATACAGAGATTTTATATTTTAAATAAGGAAAATTGGCTGCCATTTCTGCAAGCAGCATGTTATGAAATAAGCTCTAATTTTGCCTCACCTTTGAGGAAAACTTATTTAAAAGGCAAGGAGATCCCTGATCATTCTGCAAATAATATATACTCACTGTCCTATGAAAAGAATCAGTTTTATTACTCCTACCTGTCTGTGAGCTAACACAGTAATACCCCCAGACTCCTGCAATTAACTGCCAGTCTGTGGTAAAATTGCCCGTTTTTAACTTTATATAATGTCACTCACAAGTTGGGGTGCTTTCACAGTTGAGGGTGATTCTCCTGCAGAAGATGACTACTGTTATTCCACATCTGTTTGGCTGATCCGTTTCCTAGATGTCCTGCCTACATTTGTAAGGCTGGAGCTATAATGCATGCTCATGCAACAAGGTAGGGCTACATGGTTAATAAAGACTGACACCCAACAATGCTATCACTCTGAAAGACTGAAAAAGAACATGCTCTGGCCTGCAAAGATAGTCTTCACCTTCATGCGTTCTCTTCCTCTCTAGAAGTCTGCTATGGCTCCCATCAGCCTGAAATGGCAAGAGAAATTTTAAATTACTTTGCCCTACATTCATGGGCAAAATTCCAACCAATTATTTTTAAGTTTTCCATATAAAACCTCAAAAAATGTTAGTGATCTTTATTTTATGTATTCATTCAATATTTATTGGGTAATTTCTGCAGAAAAGATATTGTACCTTCAATTCAGTGTTTAGTGCTCAGGCTCTAAGAGCAGAAAGCAAAATGATAAAATGTATTTAGTCTCCTAAGTATCTCCCAGAATGGTACCTGCTAGGATGTCAACAAAACTAAATAATTCGTTTTATAGGTAAGAATGTCAATAATTTTATAATAGTTTTGATTTTCATGAAAAAAATCAGGGGTCTTCATATTTAAGTTTATGCAACTGTAAAATCGGACCGGTATCGGGGGTTTGTGTTAATGTATGTACAGCGGTCTCTGTTCAGTGTACCTCTGTGCCTTAATCTATTTCATTCCTCTGACTCTGCTGTAACCCCATGTCCTGGTTGTACAGTGAAGCTGGTGCTCACTCGAGCCTTGATGATCACTGCAGATATTCTAGCTGGTTTTGGATTTGTCATCTTGCTCCTTGGTCTACACTGTGTGAAATTCCTTCCAGATGAACCATACATTAAGGTCCGCATCTGCTTTGTTGCTGGAACCACATTACTAATAGCAGGTAGGGAGTGGGACTGGTAAGGAGGGAGGGTACTAAGCTGAGGACCTGAGGTGGGAGACAGGGTGCTTTCCTGAGGCAGTACATTGTAGGGCCATTGGTGCCCTAATATGCTGAATACTTGAATTAAAAAAAATTATTACAGTAAAAGACTTATTGCTCTTAATATCTTTCAAAATGCTCCCCTTTGTTTTGAGCACTTTTCCCACCACTGTGACTTTCTGAGGCAAATGTCAAGGTCTTTTCTTGCAAGTATTGTTTCTTGGCTGCCTTGATATCTTGAATCCATTCAAAATATTTACTGGACTCTGTGTCAAATAAAAACCTTGCAGTGAGGCCTCATCCACTTTTTGCACTGGATCTGGCACCTTGGGATTCCTCGTTCTTCCTCCAAGTCAAAATGATCATAAAAGGTAAATGTTTTGCATGGATTCTGGACGTCAAAGCATCCATGAAAGCACAATTAGACATAGAAGAGGACTTCTAAAACCTTCTTCCAGAAGGGCAAGAAAGATGGGATAAAGGTGTGTGAAGCAACGTGGAGTATTTTAAGGAAGGTTAAACCTTCACCTTCTATTTTGATTGCACTATCTAGCGACCCTACTTTCTTTACCTTTAGAATGAGATAATTAGTCTTTTGTTCACATTCCGGATTAAGGTAGGCCGACATACTTACATTATTGTTTGGCCACTTAAAAACTTACATGATGTTTTGAACTGTTAAAATAATTTATTATGTAATAATTCCTAGAGTCAAATCCTAAAGTCAGCTCTGAGCTGTCATTCCTTACCGACAGCCCTACCAAATTTTTTTCTTTTTAATTAATAAGTTAAATTAGTCAAGTCATACATTAGGTTTTCCAGTTATGCTAATTCATTTTAACATAAATAGAGTAATAAACATTATGTATCATTGGGACTTAAAAAGCAAATAAAGAAATGAAATTTGGAAGACAAAAATCAAGTATAGCAAGTGGATCAGGAGGTATTTTCTTCATATAGTGTTTATTTGGAGAAAAGCAAAATTGATTTTTCACTCATATCAGTCTTCAACTTCAATACATAGTCTTCCTGTATTGCAATATATGTTATTGGATCTTAATACAAATGGTGAGTGATTACACTGCTGACAAGATAAAAATGAAGGAAGATTGAAAGCTAAAGGGCATGCCCTACAGTGGGAAAAATCATCTTATATGGTAAGACTTTAGCAAGGAAATGCAAGTGAAATATTGACCAAGCAGTGTGGGGTAATGAAAACAGATAGAGCTTTGGAGCTAAGAATATATGAAGATTTTCATCTTTGTTTCAATTCCAGATCTGCAGAACTGGGGGCAGTAATGTCTACTTTGGAATAGTGCTCTGAAAATTCAGAGTAGGCAGAGGAAGCTCTTAGCAAAAGGCTTACCCTTCACTTGCTCAGAATGAGGTTTCTCTGATATTTTTTTCTTTTTCACAGATATATTGAGTTTAGGTTCTGAACTTAGGTTGTATTTAAAAGTTACAAGAATTTAGTAATTCTTCCAAAACATTCATTCCCATTTCCAGCCTTCGGAGAACATAAACCCTTTGTATATAACACTTTGCTTTATTTAACAAATCTAAGTATTATTTAAGGCTAGGCATTTTGTTCCAGAATGATCTGAGGCATCATTAACATACGTACCCCATTTTAAAATAAAACAACACAGCAAACTTTTGGAAAAATGAAAGTAACTGATAGAAATTCCTGTAGGAAGGACAGAAGAGTGGTTAAACTAAGTGACCAGGATGATGAAAGCTTTAACGTCTCTATTTAGAATGAGGATGATATATCCATGTATTTTTATCTTTTTTTTTTCTTTTTTTGGTTTTTTTCTGGTACCAGGAATCAAACTCACGACCTCACACTTGCCAGGCAGGCGCTGTGCCGCTGAGCTAAATCCCCAGCCCCATCCATGTATTTTTTTTTAAAAATTAGTTATCTGTGTTGAAGTTTCAAAACAGGAATTTCCTACTTAAGCCAATTGGTAATAGTATTATGGGACAGTTGTGACAATTTATATCTGTTTCTAATGATTACATGCTCATGAGTTTGGTCCTTAAACTAGTTGCATTAAGCAGTTAGGAATGGTTGTTCACACAGACATCACAGACTCACTAGAACAAAAGATGTGAAACTTAATTTTAAGGATACAAATTTTAGAAATGCTCTTTTTTTTAACCATAACCTTTTTTTCCTTTACCAAATTATCATCTTTTGTTCTTGCTTATAGGCCTTGACGTACAACTATAATAGTTAAAATGGTAAGACGGTGCCAATGGTATATTTCAAACTAGTCAATTGTCAGAGAGGCTAATTATGGAAATTAAATTTTATTAAAGGCAATAACATTTTTTAGTCCATTCTTGTGTGATATAGAGGTGCTATATAAGGACTGATTAAAAATGAAGACAATTTTAAAATTCCAGTTATTTGTTTCAGATATTGAAAAAGCAGCCTAGAATGATTATTTTCTCTAAATTATATGCAATTTAGAGTGTTCTTTCAGGTTTTCTTCTTATTTTTAAAATAATTTTCTTTATACAATGCAGCTATGAGTGCATAACAACATGTTAGTCAAAGGCAGTCCGTAACAGTGGCCCCTTACAGTTCTGATGAAGATAAAAATATTTTATTACCCAGTGACACTCTAGCAGTGGGAAGATAATAGCACAATGTATTCCTCATGTGTTTGTCATGATGCTATTGTAAAAAACAAACAAACTACTGCACTACTTGATAATGATAACAAACAACTATGCTAATGGCTTATATATTTACTATATTATACTTTTATCATTAGTTTATTTGGGTTTTTTTTTTTTGGTACTGAGAATCAAACTCATGACCTTGCACTTGCTAGACAGGCGCTTGTGCCACTAAGTTATATCCCCAGCCCTTATCATTATTTTAGCATATACTCCTTCTACTTATAAAAAATTATTTACTGGAAAACAATATACCATGTCTCACTGACAGCAGCCTCATACCATTCATGTTTATTGCATTTCCTTATTACATCCTTTTCTCTTGTGCTTGGCTTATTTTTAGATTGTTGCATTCGTCATGGCCTTAGCTCCAATAGGCTATGCCGTGTAGATATGCTATATAGCTTAGGATTGTGGTAGCGTCTCCCATCTAGGCTTGGGTAAGTACACTCCATGATTTACAGTGATGAAGTAGTCTGTAGATGCATTTCTCAAACATATCTTTATCACTAAGCTATGCATGAGTATTCTAAAATAGCTTTGGAGATATAGGAAAACTGAAGAAAATCATGGTGATCATTTTAGTTTCACACAAGCCAATGAGCACTGCATTCTTCCTTTTTCTGTATTTTCTTTTATGTATAAACTGAAACAAAATTTGTAAAATACACAAGATGAAATGTAAAAGGCAAATATGGAAGAATTATCCAAAATTTGACTTGCCCATGGATCTTTGATATCATTATTATCTCTTTAAATAACACATTTTGCTAGTAAGTGCATCTCCTTGGTTTTAAATTTGGAAAATATTCCATGTTATCTTACAATCCTCTCTTTCATTCAGGTGCTCCAGGAATCATTGGTTCTGTGTGGTACGCTGTTGATGTTTATGTAGAACGTACCTCTCTGATTTTTCATAATATATTTCTTGGCATCCAATATAAATTTGGTTGGTCATGTTGGCTTGGAATGGCTGGGTCTGTAGGTTGCTTTTTGGCTGGAGCTGTCCTCACCTGTGGCTTGTACCTCTTTAAAGGTAAGAACCAAATAAAATGACACATTTCCTCATTTCTACTATCAAACTTCCCTACCACCGGTAAAGCCTCTTATTACAATGAATGCTACAATACTGGAATTTCTAAGTGTTACCATTAAAAATTCCAGTTGGTCAAAGACAACTGAATTGTAATACTCATATTTTATCACCAAGTTAGTGATATATTAGTGGGAAAAGATATCCACAACTATAATTCTGTCCAATATGCAATAGTGTAATGTTTTTAGTTATTTTTATTTTAATGTAACACAGGTGGATATTAATAAGAAAAATATAAGCATACTCTTCCTACTTCACTGACAAAAATAAAACAAATTTCAGAATAAATAATTAGAGAAAAACAGTGGGTAATGTACCATGTGTCATGATCTTAAAAGAATGACCAAAATATTATTCTGAATATAAGTCATAGACAAAAAAGATTCTCTCTTCAAGGGCTGGGAATATAGCTCAGTGGCATAAGTGCCTGCCTGGCAAGTGCAAGCTCCTGAGTTCTATTCTCAGTACAAAAAAAAAAAGAGATTCTCTCTTAGAAAGAAGAAACAAACAAATAACAGGACAAAACTTTCTGTACCATAAACACAAAAAACTAGTACTATATATGAGGCAAATTAGCATTTATCTTAAAATATTTTGAAACAATAGAATACATAACTTGGGAAGTTACTTGAACTTGAATCATCATAATTATTTTTATAAACCTCACTTTACCTTGTCAGCTAAATTCATAGAGAAAAATAGAGAAGTGGACTGACTGACAGTTAAATAGTTGTGAATGAAGAATGTAATGCATTATATTTAGTTTCTTAAATCTTCACTTTCAAAACTGTGATGACTCCTCTCCTCATCAGCAGAGAGAAAGAGAGAGGGAGAGAGAGAGAGAGAGAGAGAGAGAGAGGGAGGGAGGGAGGGAGGGAGAGAGAAAGACAGATTACTCAGCTAAATTTCAATTCTGAAGGTAACCCGTGAGATTAACATTTTAGATTTTCTTCTGGGATTGTTCCAAGGATTCCTAAATAATTTCTGCTAAGAACTTTATTTCATTCCTTTTTTGGGAAAACCATATAAAGTTGTGATTTTTTTTCTTAAATTTTGCAAAGCCTACAGAGTCATACTGACTTGCCATTTCTCTGCATTTATCATTTTCAGATGTTGGGGCTGAGAGGAGCTACCCTCACTCCACGCGGAAGCCCTATTCAGCAGCAGGAGTTTCCATGGCTAAGTCATACTTGGCGCCTCGGACAGAGACAGCCAAAATGTATGCTGTAGACACAAGGGTGTAAAGTGCCCTCCAGCAATCTGCGTTCACACAGGACTGGTCAGTCAACCAATATGTTCAAGTTAATACGCTGGTGGTCCAATCCTGGGACAGTTATTTACACGTTTTCTTCCATTAAATTGCTAGTTTACTCCACATGTTTGGTTTAACTGCGACTTCTTCTTTCTATTATTCTCTCTTTGCTCCCACACTTGCTTTCCCTATATCTTATGATAAAGCTGCTAGAATGTAGAAATGTTTGTTTCTTATTTCTATTTTGCTATTAGAGACTATGACATGGCAATTGTAAAATACAACAACACTTCTGAAATAGAAAACAATTATTGAAAGAGGTCTGCTCTGAACACTCAAATCTCAGGTCCAAGAAAACTGACAAACTCTTAGCTCCCTGTCTGTCTTTTCGTTCATTTTTTTAATACTCTCAATGGGTGAGTGAGATATTTCATACCTTTGAGGAATATTATTCTTGCAAATTCAAACTTGAGTATCAAAGCCTAGCATTGCTCTGATTTAGTTAAAGCAGAAAAAGTAAATATCAGCCTCATAGACCAGCCACTGGTGGGAATTAAAGATAAGCTCCTGCTGCACACTCTAAATGTCAAAGGCAAATGCTAAATTAATGTTGGAGTCAGGCATGAATTTCTGCCTCATTAAGGACATACAACATCAGTGTATCCCTTCACCAGCACTCCAACTTTGACTGTATGTTGCCAAACTAGTAGACGATAACACTAATAGCACAATTAGGGAGTTTACACATAGTGATCAAACATCCAAATATACTTCTTGAATAAATATTAGAATTGACTAGTTCAGGTGCACACTCACCGCTAGGTTCTCACCACCCAGCAACAAAATAGCAAACATAGTACAAAATTTAACATCAACCCCACAGCAAATATTTATATCTATAGTTTCAAATACAGGAATGTTCACAACTCTCCACTGAAAAAAAATCTTCCCCATAAAATATGTGGGGTTTTTTTAGAAAATTAGAGTATGTACGCACTTGAATAAGTCTTGGTAATTGCTAATGGGATATCATTCATATTTATAGCGCAATCATATTGAATTTTTTAAATCACAGAGTTCTTTAATAGGCTAGAAAGTTTAATTTCAGGTTTCCCAATTTCTTGTAATTCACATGAATAACACTAATAACCTTGCAGTAGCTCAAAAGAACTTTGAATGAACAGGAAATTAGCTCTTTGGAAAAACTGACATTAAGTTGTGAGATTCTGAAGACCTCAAAGGAAGTGCTTGACACTTAGAAAGCTGGGAATAATGTGAAAATGAGAAGATGGGTTGTCTGTGCCGATATCACAGAGACTATTCTTCATGACTTCTGTTTCTTTTTAACAACATCCTCTGGAGCACTTTCAATGTAAGTTTAGAATTAAAAGCAATTAGGTAATATATCTTGTAGATATTGTTAATTATGTGATGGGCACTTAAAATTGTATATTACATGTACTAATTGTGTATGCGTATATTCTGTACGTTTTAAAGCTTTTTGGTGTATTTTTTCTCACCTTTGGCTTTTTATTTTTAATTTCATTCCTACTTTAATTTTTATATCACATTGTCCTTCATGTTTTATATACTCTAACACTTCTCTAGAAATTCTTCTGAGGAAAGATAGAGAAATTTATTAAACAGTTCATTATATTACATACTTTTTTCATTTCTAAGATCTCATTTGTATGAAGGAAGATTTCAGAGTGTTACTGTGGTAATTGATATGTATGACTGTTTTCAATTTTTCTCAATTAAAACATTTTGTATGTTCTGAGAGAAATATCAGTATTTATGTTTTTTCTTTGAACTTTTTACTTTTAATTCATTGTAACATAATGAAACATTAAAATTTATCCTGAAAGTATATATTTTTAAAAACAACTATAATGCAAAGAAACAAATATTAATCAGTCAAGACATAATACATGCCATAATAGTGACTCAAAAGGTCAAGAAAGAAAAATATAAGCCATAAGTATACAGGAATACTATTAAGTTGAAACATTAAAATAGTCTACCAAATTGTGGATTTATCATTTAGTCAAGGCTGTTAATTACAATAATAAAAATAAAACATAAAGTTAGTGTTACTTACCTCTCCCTTTATGAAGTATTGATTAACAAATTTCATTTTTAAATTGAAAGTAGCTTTCTGCTATTATAAACATTGCATATATGCACTGCCAAAAATTGGAAAATCCAAGCATACAAAATATACCTTAGTTATAGACCCAGATGCGTATTGTTTCCACCCTGAATATCATTGCTCTAAAACATTGCTGGACGTCTGCACATCTTTCTAGATATTCTTTTATTATGCAAACACAAAGATACAGATACAAATATAGCACTTTTGAAAAATCATTTCATATTTGTTGCTCTGTTGCCTAATTCTCTTTCTCAGGTAGCAAACTATTTTTTGGTATCAGTAAACTTTCATATCATCTACTATACAGCATATGTGTAAATTTCTTCAAGCCTTTAAAAAAAAAACTACACAGCTGGCGTGTTGAAACTAGTGTCTACGTTTTATTTGGTTGTTCTTTCCGAGAAAACTACCTTTCACTCCTACTCTGATTTTCCAACAGTTTGCCCCACTTTCTGGAGTTGTGCTTTCATTTCACTTATTTCTCAATATCTTTAAGTACATTGAAATTTAAATTTAATAATCACATAGAATCAAGTTAATTCTTTTCCAACTTACAGTATGGATCATGTGACAACATAACTGAAAATTCAATTTACCTTTGTTTAAATGCTAACATTGTCTCCTGAATTAGGATGCTGGCAATCAGATACCTCCATTTTTTTCAGCTATACGTATATATACTTTAGTGACAAAAATAAATAGTCGCTGAGTTGTTCTTTTGGAACTATAGAAATATCATGTTGCCCGTTAGCTATATGCATAGTAGTCCACACCACTGATAAACTATCCTAGTCAATACACTGATTTAGATTTATAAGACAAATGATTTTCTATTTCTGTGTCATCTACATGTCTAGTGAAATTCTTCTGTAAAATAAGCTTTTGTTTCTTCATTTAAATTGTCTAGAAAGGGTAGGATAAATTATCAGTTCTTTCTCTTTCTTTACCAATTCACAACTACAGAGTAAAGATCTGGCTTATCAGTGCTGTGATACATAATTCATCACCCAAGCTCCACACTTTGGAGAACAGCAGTGAAGGCATTTAATAATCAAGTCAAGGTATTCCTGATAAAGCTATAAGGTATGATCAGTCTATTAGCTCAAAAGGTAACACGTACAATGTTTAGTACTTTTCACCTTTGAATACCATTAGTGACTCACAGAGTTTCTTTAATTTAATTAAGAGAATAAAAAACCAGCAAAATAACAAGAACAAAGACAAAAGCAACACAAAAACTGTAAAAACAATACAGAATTTCAAAACAAAATGATAGGAATTAGCCGTAGTTGTTACATTACCTACTGTTATCTTCAACAAAGTTGCCAGATTACTAGATATAAGAATTCAAGATTGATCAATTAAAGAGAATAAAAGGTAATAAAAAACATTAGAAATGATACAGAGCTTCATTAAACAAGATGGTAGGAATTCAACAATTGTTGTTATATTGCATATTGTTGTCTTCAAATTAGTTGTTCAAATTACCAGATATAAGCATGTAAAATTGCTCATGAAAATAAAATTAAGCATTAACTGCTCATTTCAATAAACCATAGTACATGAGCAGTACAATTATCCCAGGTATCCTTGCATATATCCCTCATCCCAGCTGTTCCTTCCCTTTGAGCAATTTCTTTCCCTTTCACAATATCCATTGTACCTTTTGGGTTTTATTTACGTTTCCAGGTTCTTACAGTGTGGAGACAATACAATGTTTACATATGTGGGTCTGACTGAGTATGGCTTCCAGTTGCATTCATTTACCATGAAAGCCTCAAGTTTATTTTTTATAGTTGAGTAATACTCCATTATATAAAAATACCACATATTTTTTATCCATTCCTCCCTTGATGGACATTTGTGCTTTTTCTAAGATTTAGCTATGACAAATTGCACTGCTATAAACATGGGTTCACATATATTGCTGTGGTACAACCTGTTCAGTTTTTCTGGAATAAAAAACCAGAAGGGGAATAGCTGAGTTAAGTGGGACCTCTAATTCTAGTCTTGTGAGGAATCTCCACACTGATTTCCACAGTGGTTTCACCAGTCTACACTCCCACCAACAGTGGAAAAGTGTTCCTTTTCCTCCACAGCCACTTCAGCATTTGTTATTGGCTGATTTCTTGATGATAACCATTCTTTCTGGGGTGAGATACAATCTCAGTGTTGTTTTAATTTACATTTCTCAAATGACCGGTGATGTTGAACATTTTTTGATGTATTTATTTGTCATTTGTATTTCTTTATCTGAGAAGTTTGTGTTCATCTCAGATGCCCATTTTTGGATTGTGTCTTTGAATTTTGGGGCCCTCATCTTTTAAAATTCTTTATAAGTTTTAGATGGAAGTCCTTTGTCTGAGGGGACAGTTGGCTAAAATTTTTTCCTAATTCATGGGTTTTCTTTTTACTCTGTTGGCGATTTCTTTCTATGTGTAAAAACCTTTCAGTAAGATGAGATCTCAGTTGTTAATTCTTTGAAGAATTTCCCATGCAGTTTGGTTTTTGTTCATGAACTCTCTGCCTACCCCTATGTCTTCAAGATTACTACCTACTTTCTCTTCCAGGAGATTTAGTGTTTCTGTTTTAGTTTTTAGATCTTTGATCCACTTTGATTTTAGATTAGTGCATGGTAATAGACATGGGTCTATTAGTCTTCAACGTGTGGAGAGCTAGTTTTTCCAGCACCATGTATTAAAGAGGCTGTTTTTCTTCAAGTGAATATGTTTGGCCCCTTTGTTAAAGGTAAGGTGATTGAGTGTGTTTGTAGTTGTGTCTGCATCTTCTTATCTGTTTCATTGATCCTTGGGTCTGTTTTTATTTCCAGTACCATGCTGATTTTATCAAAATAGCCCTGTAGTATAATTTCAAGTCAGGGATTGTGAATTTTTCTTTGTTGCCTAGGATTGTTATGGCTATTCCAGGCCTCTTCTGGTTCTAGATGAATTTTAGGAATGTTTTCTCTAG